TGTTGATATATCACTATTCACTGCGCTATTTATTTCACTGCTATCACTGTCAATTTATTTCTGGATTCACTTCTGCAACGGTCAATTTATTTCTCCTCATCTTGGCGATCGTCTCTTTCTTTAAATATTCTTTTGTTTACTTTCTGGAACCCTCTAGAAACATCCGGATCATTTAGTTTTTCTTTGAACTGCTTTCCCAAAACGGAGGTACATAAAGAAAGACGCCCGCGGCTAGTCGGCGCATCGATAAGCCGTTCACGCACACGTGTGCCCGATCGCGCATAAACACACTCGTGCTCACTAAAGTATCAATGATATTGCCGATTGTTCTGTAATGCACTTTGCTTTGAGCTGAGGCTCATTTGGCAGAAACACCTTTGGATATTTTTCTCTTTTTTGGGATGATAATGTAATAAACAACATTGTGACACAGTCAAACATATACTCAAAACCAAAATAGGTTGATAAGACACGTTTTCAAACATGAAGGGCTAGTTAGACATATTAGAAGCAGAAAGAGGAGCTAAGAGGAATAGCTGTAGACCTAGATTAAATTACTGATCAGAAATAGTTAAGAATGTGGGATGTTTTAGTTATACGGAAATGCGAAAATTAGCTTAGATTAGGAAAGAGTGGTGGTGCGTGTCCAACCAGTCTTAGTACTGACGACCTAAGATGATGATTATATTATTTTATATTGTATCTTCTTTTTCTCAAGCATTTCTCAAAAAAATATTTACGTTTATCTTTGGCATTTGAAAGAGGCAATCGTTTCATATTTTACTCCTTCTCTTTCTGTTTTTCTATTCTCAGGTATATCGTAACAATCACTTTTCACATCTTCAACAATACATCATTACGATAAATAGTTTATTTACCTATATTTGGTAGAATTTATGAGAAGATTGTAGTAGTATTGGTCCTACAGCATGAACATAAACATAAGAGATTCGCAATACGTACGTAATAAATTGGCCTGCATCCAAAGTCGATACAGAACAAGAATCATTCAGTGGGGGTAGTATTTCGTTGGCAATTTTCCGAGTAACGCCAAGTGTGAAAATAGGCGTCATAGTCGTCTATCAGTCGGCCGCTAGTTCCGCAGGACTCCTGCAAAGGCAACAGGATTCACAGCCGCGCGCAATCTCTAGCGCCGCATATGTGCCTACTACCACCACTCGCTCGTTTCTTTCCTATCACCCGGAGCCTCCACCTCCTATTCACCATCGGCAGCGTTGTCTCTTGCCTCCAGTCAGTCGTCATTTGCCTGTTACGTGGCATACGTACGGTACGTCGGTCCACGCGAGCGTAGATACGCTTTTCCCCACTCGCTCGTTCGTGTTTTCCACAGCAGAGGCACGCTGCACTCTCGCCAACTGAACGCATCCGGTATGCTCCGTTACGTACGACCAAATAGTATGTGCGTTGACAACAATAATTAAATACCTAGTTCATTTGTTTCCTTTTCGTTTTTCGTATTTTTTTTTTCTGAGATCTGACAGTTTTGTTCCGTTGTTGATTTTATTGATGTACAGTGAGAATTTTGTGTGATTGTTCAATTATCTTTTTGTCTTGTGTTCGCTTGTTTGAAAGTGAAAGTGATTGTTGATTGGGATGCTAAGTGACCCTCGGGGACTTGGTGTTAGACATGGGAAATAACGAACTTCTGGTTGTGTTTGCAACCGTCGTGGGACTGCTGAAAATTTCTGCTAAAGCTCAAGGTAAGGGTTGGGAACAAGGATACGTTATAATTTTAATTGTAGTTATAATAATTTTACATGCTCTGATAATTAGGTACACAGTGACCTTGAAGTTTGAAAAGTAATTTTATGTAATCCGAAATTATTCTAAGTAAACAATAATTACTTGGAAGGATTCCCCCATGCTTTCAAGTTTTAAGTACACTTGAAGTTTTTATTCCATAAGGATTCGCCGAAATCCTTACACGAGTCTTGTGCCTCAAAGTGTATAATTTTGAAGGCATTTTAGACACATGGTTAGTAATTAGTTCAAAAATATGCTAAATAGACAAAAATTTCTTGGAAGGATTGTAATTGTATACTTTGCTCTGAAGTTTTAAATACACTTGAAATTTTTATCCAATAATCCTTAGAAAAGCCTCTTACCTCAAAATGTATATTTAAAGGCATTTTGGTCACATAGTTTTCCACAATATAATTTTGCGAATATGCACTTCGAAAATTGTAATACTGCATCTCTACCTAGTTTTCAGTCAGTTTTGCTTACCCAGAGACACCCTCCAATTGAGAATGGCACCTTGGGTGTCGAAACGTTTATTAGATTTTTAAATGTTTGGAAGCACTCATGGGAAATTCTAAGTTTTAGTTAATTATTTCAACTCCGTATTTGATTTTATTGCTAACTTCTTATACAGTATATCTACTTAAGTTGACAACATATGGGAAATATTTTAATTTCCTATTATATTTTATTATTATTCTTATGAAAAAAAGTTACTCTTTATAAAAAGTCTTCCATGGTCTAATATGTAATGACAAGATTAGACTTAATAATTTATCATCCATATACAAGTTTTAACACAAAATATGAAATTCGTCTAACAGTAAAGTAGATTTATTTTTGAAAATAGCAGAAACCTTTATAAAGAATATTTGTTGAGAATTAAAAATTAGTTACAATTATTCAACCATATCCATCGATAGCTAAAATTATAATTTTGTATATTTCTTCATACCCAAGTCAATTTATACCTCAGCTTCTACATACATAATTAGTTGCAATGGAACTTTATGAAACTCACATTAGTGTACATTTATAAAGATATTGCTTTTTTGAAACTGGACTTAAAATTTAGCCAAACATACGAACGAACGGATAAAAAATCTAAAAATTGTGGATTTCTTCAAAACATGCATAGATTAATCGATTAATTCTGTCAATATTACGACTAAATACATAAGTATAGTGCGGATTTTATTATCTCTAAATTGGTATTATCAGATAAATTAGTTACCCTTAATTGCTTTTAAAAGTAATTAACTAAGTGTCTAAACTTATTTACAAGCAATTAACAGAGAGTATTCAGGGATTGTTACTAATTTCATGCGACTTGTTTGTGTTAAAAATTCTTAACTAGCATATCTACAGCTTTACCTGCTTTTTTGTGTGTTAAGCTGTCTTATAATTCATATTTAAAGAAGATGGGTTCGTGTTCAATAGATTTTTTTCATTCGTCAGAAAAACAGATGAGCAGCTAGTTTTTTTTTGTGGTAGATCGCGAAGTTCACAACGTAAATGTCAGGATTGTGATCACACAATACAGTAGATTTGTACGTAGCATACAGAAGACGCAAGTTTGCATGCTAATACCTATAAATAATACACGTATAAGTAGGTAATAGATTTTCGAGATAGCGCGATATCATTTTATAACGATATTCGAAAATGTCGAGACGTAACAAAGGTCGTCGTTAAGATTATTATTTATTTTAATATGATACCTACTCAATTAGTTTTATTAATTCATAGGGTTTTATACAGTGAAGGAAAAAACAGAAACTCATCACGATCAGTCACTCTTGCGTCTGTTTTTCTATTACAGCTGATTTTCTCAGAAACCAGTAACCGTGGAAACTTGAAGTTTGGAATAGTCGCATATTAGTAAATCTTACTCATGTTAGTCCACATATTTTATACTAATTAGCATTTTAAAATAATCTAACTTATAAGAATCAAAGAAAAGGAAAATTAAGCAAGTTCCTTCCTCCTCATTCTAGTGCTTCCTTGATTAGGGTCTAAAGGTCGTCGACGGTTAGAGTTGCTCGCTGAGCTAAGCAAAAATATCGATGTATTGTAATTATCGATAACTATCAATAGTTGTCAGTAGGCATATCGATATATTCGATAATTATCGATAGTTATCAATATATCAATACTTATTTTATCAATGAATATGTACCGATGTATCGACATATTGATAACTATCGATACTCATTGAATATATAAAATATTGAAAAGCAAAATATTCAATTTTTTGAAACGCCTTAATATCGATGATAATAATAATATTTTTTTAATTAGATATTTTCTAAGAAAAAATAAATTAAAGGAATAGTTATACACTTATGGTTTACAGATTTGTTTAGAAACAATGTCTACTATCAATAAAAAATGAACATATATATATATCTATATAGGTGCTTATTATTATCAGTGTATTGATAACTACTGATAATTATCGAATATATCGATAGTTGTCGATATATCAATAGTCGATGTCGATGGTTATCAGTTGTTAATATTGTTATTGATATATCGATAATTATCAGTTGTTTGTTTTCAATCAATCGATCACTACTGATATTTATCAAATATATATCAATATAATCATCGATATTTGTTTGTTATCGATAACCGATAACTAAAAACAGTTACCTATCTGGCCGCAAAAGCCTTTACCAATTTGTTAATCACGGTGGACGTGACGGAAAAGAATGTGTAAGAAGCGTTTAGGATGTGGAGTTATAGGCGGATGATCAAATTTTGTGGATAGAAAATGTTGATAATTTTGAATAGCATATTTAAAATTATAATTTGAAAAATATACAAAAGTCGGTACCTACATCATTCCCCTTTTAATTCCGAAACTATTCGGAATAAATACGAAAAGTTTAAGTTCTTGCTCAGTAATTTATTGAAACCACCGGATGTGATATACGATCTCATCAGCACTTCATAACCAGGCTCGATAAATCACCAACAAAATCGAAGGAACTGTCTAAAAGGATTCCTAAAAATTATGACATTAATGACCATCCTAAAGTATGAAATTGAGTTAAAAAAAAATTAAACAAACTATCTCAACGGTATCTATCCCCCTCAAGCATAGATATAATTTAAAAAAAATTTAATGCTCCCTTTTTTCAAGGCCCTTTGATGACGTTTAACACGTATAGGTACTGCTTTTATAATTCTGAATATAATTTTTGAAAGTAGATGAAAAATACACATTAAGATGACCGAAACAGAAAACAAATATTTTTTTGCTTTAATCTCGCATAAAAATATGATATTTTTAAAAATTTCGGATGATCCTTGAAGAAATTTTATTCGAATTTTTGGTGAGCATTACGTATTAAAATATGTTAAATTAACGTATTTTCATGCGAGATGAAGCTAAAAAAAATGTTTTTTCTTTCGGACACTAATATTTATATCATGGTGAATTTTAAATCATTTCGTTTAGAAGACTGACATACAGACGGACAGCGTTTTCAGAACCATACGCATTTTAGGATTCCATTAAATCCTTCGGGTGTGCAACCTTAAAATGCGAAACTAGGAAATAACAGCAATCGCAAATCATCGAGTACAATTATTGTCACAAAATCGAGTCTTGAAGATTGTTTACGCTTTTTCCAAGTATATTTTAAATTCCTCCCAAAACATATAATTACAATTAAAAAATTATTTTTTTTGACGTAATTTAAATTTATGGTTTTCGGATTTTTTCCTTAAGAATTGCTTCTTGTTAAATTTGATGATTCTAAGTCAACGGGAAGTACCCTCAGGTTTTGATTCCCTTGGTAGTGTCAAAATATGCGCTTTGAAGTTTGATATTTTTTCACAACTCCAAGGGATTTCAGACTGGAGTATTTGATATTAATTTCAACTTGATACTATTACGCATTCCTTAGAAAAAAAGTATTGACAGACAGGCAGATAAAAGGAGAACTCAATGATCCTATAAGGGTTCCCGTTTTCTCCTTGTTTTGAGGTACATAACCCCAAAAATATGTAAATGTTCAAAAATAAGATAATAATTGAATTAAAAGAACGTCCAAAGAATTAGTTGTATTTATTTCATTATCCTGCTGAATATGCATTTGTTTCATAATTACCATATTCCAAGGACACCCTTTATCGTTACTGTGCACTTTTTGTATAGATAGATATCACATATGTATCTGCAAACCTCGACACTCCAAACACCTTGTTTATTGTTCTATATCAGACGCTCTGTATAAAAGTACCTTGATGGTTAAATTTTATTGCATTGCAGTGTATCTATTGAGTACTAATTGTAGAAGTTATTCTTCGTATCTTAATTTTTCAGTGCATTCTCTCAAGACTTATTAGCTGTAGTTAATGGAATTTTAATGTTTCTATCATCTCATTTCTTCAGATAAGGTAAAACCTTATTATGTCCATCAACTGATGGCATTGACGCTAGTGGAAATGAAAAAAATTAAATCATTTCATGCATTAAACATTTACGACTGTTTTTAGTCTATTAAGATAAAGTAAATGTTTAATGTTTGTCAAACACAATTTAATTGAGGTTATAAATATGTTAAGCTGAATATACGTAAATATGTACTTACTTATTTCATGTAATCTCCAAAAAGTTTTCAAAATTATGAAATTAGGATTGGCAGACTTGCCAATTTTATGTAATAGGTAATTATGGGAATCAGGTACAAAAAAGCAGAAGGAATAACGACATGTACCTATAACAAAAAGCAGTGCAAAATATAGCTTAACTTTTAATGAAATGAATGTAAAACAAGATTCTAGGGTTAATGCATTAGTGAACTAATTACTTGAATTAATTTCATCCACTATAGAACACCTCAAATTAATTGATAACAATTCTTCCTCACTAACTTAGGTAAAGTTAATTCACTCTTGCATAGAAAAATTTGAATAATTGCCTGATTTTGAGTATTAGAAACTCGAA